TCATCTAGACCCAGCACTCTTGCCTGCCTATGCAGGGGGTCGGACTCGATGATCTATTGAGGTCCCTTCCGACCCTAACATCTATGAATCTATGAATCAGATAAGGGGAGTCTAACAACACAGCACAAGTCCCCGCCTGCGCGCGGATTCTCGATCCAGCCTAGCAGACAGGCCCCGTTCGGCCGTTACACCTCCCTGTGCGACGCTCGCTGCCGCCAGAGGCCTGGTGACGTGCTTCAGCTATGAAGCAGGACTCTCCAGGACTAGGTGGAGCGCCGTGCCGCACTGTGCCGGGGCTGTGGAGACTGGGGTCCGCTCCGCGTCTGCCACAGATCTGCTGGGCGACTCTGGGCAAGTCATTTTACCCCCCTCAGGCCTCAGTTGCCCCATCTGGAAAATGGACGCAAAGACCTGGCCCTCTGTGGTAAAGCACCTTGTGATCTAGGGAGGACACGCACTAGGTCAGGGCGACGCAGCATCATATTCTAGATGGGAGAAAACCCACTTGGTTACTTGTGGCTTCTGAGTGCTGCCATAATGGTAATGCTGAATATTTATAATTGACGAGGCGAGGACGACCCCTGCTCGCAGACTGCCCGTCTGAGTGAGACTGCACTCAGGCGCGCTCTGGTCGTGCAGGTGCACGCGACAGATTTCAAAGCACACCGCACCCGTCTAAACCCTGTGTCGGAGGGGGCTGCATCCCTGAGCAGGGCCTGGCGGCTGCCAAGGCAGCACTTGCACACCTGACACACAATCCAGGAGAGCAGCTCCCAACCCGAGACCCAGCTCCGGAGGGCATTGCTGCTCCGAGGGCATCTCTGCTGGCAACCCTTAGAGGCAAGAGGCCACGTGCCGGTAGCCCTGGCTCTTGGGGGAGACGCGCTCTCCCCCCACTCTGCATGTCCGGCTTGGGAGATGCTGCATCTGAAAGGCACCCGGGGCTGCAGCTGGGGGAGGCACGTGTGTGGTCCCCGGGGCACGGAGGCTGGAGGCTCCCTGCAGGCAATGCTCACGGGCGGAGGGCCGGGACCTCAGGGGCGAAGGGCCCAAACGAAGAGCTAAGTCAGGGGGATAACGGCAACCGACCCCATTATTGGGCGGCCCCCAGCCCCCGGGGCGCGCGCCCCCCGCGGGGCAGGGGGCGACCT